CCCGAAGGGGAAGATTTGCCTTTTAATAACCCTATATGATATATTCATTAGGGGCTTGTTCCCAAATGTTCGGCTCGCACTCCGGGGAGACTAAATTATTAATTTCGGTGCGGCAATTAAATGCCTTTAGGGAGTGTGGAAAAAGTTGGTCCGATTTTTATCTTTATTTTATTTCCTACAGACTCTATCATAAGCTCTGAATTTTGCACTGAAAGTTCACACTTGGACTATGATCATGACTTAAACAAAGATTTACCAAAAAACGTGTCTTTTGATTCGGGAAAAGGTCACACAGAGCAGCGCAGTGAGCAATTGAGAGAAGACTTGCAGAAACAAAATCAGCAGACCGAAGTGGCTACTTGCTAACAACAAGTGAAGGCAAAGAATTAAGAAGAATTACAAAGAAAGATGCGATGTTTTGTGAAGAAAACTGGCGATTTACTGAAGATTTCTAAGGTCCAATGCAACTTTAATCAATCAGATTTTACTCGAAATCTGCTTGGTTTAAGGGACGAAACGAGCAGTATGTTTAATTGATTCCCCCATTCTGGTTCATACAGTAAATCCCCCTGCAATCGATCCCCATCTGCAAACTTTGCCAGGTTTATTAATTAAGATAAATATTCCACTCTCGTCAGCTAAAGCAAACAATAACTCTTTATGCGGGAATTGCAAAGTATTATAGTATAGTTTTCCGAGCAAATTGGCCGTTTGGTTGGACGAGGTTTCCTGTGGCGTTTCTGCCGTTTTCAACCCCAATCATGCCGGAATATTCGGTCGTTTTTCAGCCTGGAATGTGTGACTTGATTTCAGGGAAAATTTTACTGAAAAGGAGCCCTTTTTGTTCAAGTTATACTCCAAAACATTCGCGGTTTTTCAAAACCTTAGTTCAAATCATCGGGTTTCAAACGGTCTCCTCCTCCAACTTGTGGTGTGTTTTGCAACCGCTGTTTCTCCAAATGGTTAAAAAGTAGAACTTAAAACGCGAATTTCTCGAGCAATTTACCATTGTGCCGAACGCAATCGTCAACCACTCGAAATTCCATACATAAGCAGGCAACAAACAACTTCTCCCCCGGTACCAATTAAGGCTAAAAAAGAGTACACCAATTAAAATTTGCTTCCATCACTGGGAGAAGTTTTCTCTTTGTCGGTTGTCGGATTAAATTTTAAACTTTGCACTTTGAAAAAAGTGATTATAAGAGGTTTAGCGAGCGGCTTAACAGTTTGGCTTTTGAGCGAATTTTGATGGGCTGGATGGTGAAGCCAACCCCGATTCCCCCACATAAAGAGGCCATGTTTGGGGGTTTATTTTTAGTCAGAAATTATTTCAACTTCCAGGCTGACGAGGGGCATTTTTGACGAAAAAAATGTAGATTGTTGAAAATTCAAAAGTTGTTGGCATATTCTTAGGGCATAAATTGAAGAGATTTTTGAAAAAATTTGAGAAAATCGCTCTGTGTGAGAAATTAGTTACTTTTTATGAGTATTTAGATCAATATCTTTGCTTTCGCCAGTAAAAGGCTCGAACCTTCAGCTGCTCTCGTCAAGAAGGCAACAATTTTCRAAAATTCGTGAGGRCAATGTTAAGGCATCGATTGAGGAAATTTTGGAAAATTCCAAAATGGAGAAATAATTGAAACTTTTMGRTTTTCTTGSAAATTATACTGCCTTTCTTCAGAAGAAAATGTTGATTCTAAGCTGCACTGGTGTASTTGCTGCAAATTTTCAAAAATGCGCGGCATATTCAAAGGACATAAATTGAACACGTTGAAAAAAATGGAATAAATTCGCCATTTACAAAAAATCAGTAACTTTTTTGTAGTATTTAGAAACTTATATTCGCTTTCTTTTCTAAAAAGTTCCGAACTTCAGCTGCTCTTGCCCAGTAGGTAAAAATTTTCGAAATTTAGTGGACACATTCCTAAAGCATCGGTGGAGGTAACATTTGGAAAATTGCCAAAAATTCCTCTTTGACAAAAAATCATTGTGACTTCCAGGTCTTCTTGAAAAATATATTGCCTTTCTACAGAAGAAAATGTTGATTCTAAGCTGCACTGGTGTAGTTGCTACGAATTTTCCAAAATGCGCGGCATATTCAAAGGACATAAATTKAASACGTTGAAAAAAATGGAACAAATTCGCCATTTACCCGAAATAGATAGCTTTTTTGGAGGACTTAGAAAATGATCTTTGCTTTCTTTACTAAAAAGTTACGAAGTTCAGCTGCGTTTGGTCAGCAGGTAAAAATTTTCGGTCGAAGAAACATTTGGAAAATTGCTAAAAATTACCCTTTGACTAAAAATAATTGTAACTTCCAGGTCTTCTTGAAAAATATATTGCCTTTCTTCAGAAGAAAATTTTGATTCTAAGCTGCACTGGTGTAGTTGCGACGAATTTTCAAAAATAGGCGGCATATTCAAAGGACATAAAATCAAGACGTTGAAGAAAAGGGAATAAATTCGCCATTTMCAAGAAATCAATAACTTTTTTGTAGTATTTAGAAACTTATATTCGCTTTCTTTTCTAAAAAGTTCCGAACTTCAGCTGCTTTTGGCCAGCAGGTAAAAATTTTCGAAATTTAGTGGGCATTCTTAAAGCATCGGTGGAGGAAACATTTGGAAAATGCCAAAAATTCCCCTTTGACCAAAAATAGTTGTGACTTCCAGGTCTTCTTGAAACATATATTGCCTTTCTTCAGAAGAAAATGTTGATGTCTAAGCTGCACTGGTGTAGTTGCTACGAATTTTCCAAAATGCCCGGCATATTCAAAGGACATAATTTAATTAAATTAAAATTAAATTCGCCATTTACCCGAAATAGATAGCTTATTTGGAGGACTTAGAAAATGATCTTTGCTTTCTTTACTAAAAAGTTACGAAGTTCAGCTGCTTTTGGTCAGCAGGTAAAAATTTTCAAAATTTAGTGGGCACATTCTTAAAGCATCGGTCGAGGAAACATTTAGAAAATTGCTAAAAATTCCCCTTTGACTAAAAATAATTGTAACTTCCAGATCTTCTTGAAAAATATATTGCCTTTCTTCAGAAGAAAATTTTGATTCTAAGCTGCACTGATGTAGTTGCGACGAATTTTCAAAAATGGGCGGCATATTCAAAATCAAGACGTTGAAAAAAATGAAATAAATTCGCCATTTACAAGAAATCAATAACTTTTTATAGTATTTAGAAACTTATATTCGCTTTCTTCTCTAAAAAGTTCCGAACTTCAGCTGCTTTTGGCCAGCAGGTAAAAATTTTCGAAATTTAGTGAGCACATTCTTAAAGCAGCGGTGGAGGAAACATTTGGAAAATTGCCAAAAATTCCCCTTTGACCAAAAATCATTGTAACTTCCAGGTCTTCTTGGAAAATATGTCACACGGCATATTTGTAGAACATAAATTGAAAGCGTATAAAAGAAGAAAAATATATTCGCTTTGTTCAATTAACAGCTAAAATTTAGTAGGCACAGTCTTAAGACTTCGATTCAACGCAAAAATTCCTCTTTAACCAGAAATAACCCACCGTCCATTAAAACTTCCAGTTTGAGCTTTCAGCTCCAGAATGTATCGCCTGCTTTAAGTGAACTTTGATAAGTCGACTTGCGAAGTTTAATATTCTAAGATGGGGCAAAAATTGAACTGAAAGCAAAACACAGATTAACAATAAGGATCTTAAAAAGTTGAGTCGTTGCAAAAAGTTCCCAGGTCAATTAGATAAATCCTCAATTTTAAAGCTCATATGGTAGCTTGATATGAAATATCCAGCGATAAAAAGCTGCTCGCTAGACTGGTAGCTCTTTCGCAAATAGGACTTTCCATGTATTCATTGCATGTTGCCATGCTGTATAAGGTAAATGGGCAAACTGTTCGCTGAAAGCCATACGCTTTAAGCACCCGGCAATATCAGTAACCGGTACAACTCATAGAACACAAATGTGCAAAGTTGAAAAAGGATCAGCGCCACAATTTAAATGCAAATGCTAAAATAGCAGAGAAACAGCAAAAGGGGAGACCGTTCTAAGCACTTTGTCAGCACTTCAGGTAACCGTTTCAATAAAAACCCTCTCAGGGATTATCTGATGCTGTCCTGGTCGGCAAACAACTTTCGTTTAATCTTTTCGATGGAAAACTTAACTCGCACCAACCGAAGAGCTTTCGCTTGCGATACACCACATCGCATGAATTCGGGTTGAGTAGACAGATTTTTCGGTACAAAAGGTTTGTACGCGCACAAGAATACTTTGAAGGGAAATTGCAAAATGGAGCTGTGGAGTCGAGGAATTTCCTCCTAAAAGCCATGGCTGGAACAACGATGACGGTTAGTAAAGTTGGTTATTTAAGAGGCTGAACAACGGCCAACTGATGAAGGTGAAGATCGTTTCAGGAAACTGGAAACAACAGTTAAAAAATTAAGAAGCCAGCGCTGAGATAGAAGTGAGTGTGAAGAATTTGTATGTTCCTTCACGATTTTCTCTATTGCGCTCCAAAGAATTTGATAAAAACCTCCACATCGACCAAAGGATGTTCCAAATGAAAGGTTTATGGCGCAAAAGATGTATAGAAAAGACCAAATTAGAAACTAGAAGGAAAAAATGCATAAAATTCATCAGTTAAGAAAAGGAGGACAACCCGCCCGCGTTTCTGCTACTGCAACCGCCTAAAAAATTGATCCTCTGAACTCTGAAATGAAAATTGGAGCGAACAACAGACTGGACTGAAGGACGAGCAAAATATTTAATTATTGCTGCTGGGAAAACTTCGGGAAGTTCGAAAACTTTAAAGATCTTCCAGTTTCAAATTTAAATGATGGTAGCCACCACTTATAATTGTCTACTAAATTGATATTTCACGCTCATTCAAGCCTAATTGCAGGACAGCAGTAAAAAACGTGGGCGAAAATTTCTGACCTAAATTTACGTGAGGTTTTCCTCCCTTTGGAGGCCTTGTGCTGATTTCATATCCCGTCTGAGCAAATTGAGTTGGAATAAAACAAATTCATACCTGGGATTCGCAAATCCTTAAGGTCCAGCTGCTCAAACCTTTGGACAGTCACTCAAGAGCACTCACTCAACACAGCAAATCACTATTCCGTTCACTCAAGTTGTTCAATCCACTCCAGCCTGATCACTGCTGAATCACTTGATGGTGAATCTCATTTTCTTTGGGGTTTGTTGAAGGGAAAAATTCGAATTGCTACATGGCCAACTTTACGCAACACGAAGAAATTTCCCGAATCCCCACCGCTTGTAGCGCGATGTTTTCCCGGCCTTGGATACGCGATACTAAACTGGTGTCCCGGACTGGTCTCGATGCCGAAAGGACACTACAGTGTTCCGGGAAATGGCACAAGAGGCGCTGGGATTCGCGGCGAAAATCGTTACTGTTCGCGCAAGAATCTTGCTGCTGGGTGTTGCAAATTTATCGTCAACCGAGCGCCAATTGATTATAATCGACGATGTATCATTTAGTTGTCTAGAAACTGTTTTTCCAGTCACTGTTAAAACTGGATGGATTAAAAATGGCGTGGCCAGCAGTAAAATGTCTCACAAATGCTCATCTGTGATGAAGGATGAGAATAATCCGTGTCTCAGATCTCTCGGCTTCACTCACTGAGAACAATTGAGCGAATCTAATAAATTTTTCATCGGGCATATTGGCATAATGATCCAAACCCCGAGGTGTGAATCAGAGAAGTTTAAAGCAAGCGAAAAAACCGTTTTTTATTGATAAATACGAACGAAGTTCGGCAAGTTGCTGATTTTGTGCGCGTTTATAGAAGATGGACTGGATTTTCACTGGCGTTCACTTTTTTGCGAATTTTGAATGCAGTCCAAGCACTTGCAGGATGTTAAAGTAAGCGTGCAATTAAAAAAATCAGAACTCTATAACGAGAAGAGATGCAGGAGCTGTTTCTTGGCATTTTTACAGAAGAGCGCTCATATGGTCTAAGAACTTGGAGAATCATAAAGTCGGCGTGGACTTAAAAAATCATACCTCGATCAGCAGGTTAGTAAAAAGGATTAGTTTCTGCATGTTTATAGGAGAGATTCCAGTTTATACAAGAGGCGAATTTTAATCGCATCTGATTTTGGGCTGATTCTTTGCGATTTTTTAAAATTTAGTCTTAAAACGCAAGAAACACGCACTCTTAGAAAAATTCCTACCTGGATAACCCGATGAGATAGAGAGCGAAGTTTCTGCAAGTTTATAGAAGAGATCTCAACTAATGCAAGTGGAGAATTTCAACTGCGTCCGATGCCAGTCTGATTTTGTGCGATTTTTTAAATATCCAGTCCAGGGACTTGGAGCACCATATAGTCCATGTGCACTTAAAAAATCATCATAACTCGTTCGCCCGAACAAGAACAGTGCTGCAATTGTACACGTTTATAGGAGACATCGCAGTTTATCTAAGTGGCAAATTTTAATGGCATCTGATTTTGGACTGATTTTTTGCAATTTTTTAAAATTTAGTCTTAAAACGCAAGAAACACGCACTCTTAGAAAAATTCGTAACTCGATAACCCGATGAGATAGAGAGCGGAATTTCTGCAAGTTTATAGAAGAGATCTCAGCTAATGCAAGTGGAGAATTTCAACTGCGTCCGATGCCTGGCTGATTTTGTGCGATTTTTTAAATATCCAGTCCAGGGACTTGGAGCACCATATAGTCCGTGTACACTTAAAAAATCATCATAACTCGTTCGCCCGAACAAGAAAAGTGCTGCAGTTGTACACGTTTATAGGAGACATCGCAGTTTATCTAAGTGGCAAATTTTAATGGCATCTGATTTTGGGCTGATTTTTGCGATTTTTTAAAATTTAGTCTTAAAACGCAAGAAACACGCACTCTTAGAAAAATTCGTAACTCGATAACCCGATGAGATAGAGAGCGGAACTTCTGCAAGTTTATAGAAGAGATCTCAGCTGATGCAAGTGGAGAATTTCAACTGCGTCCGATGACTGATGACCGATGGCTGATTTTGTGTGAATTTCGAGAGATCAGAGTTTTATGTGAGAAGAAAAACGAAAATTAAATACGCAACCACTTTACTCAATAGTTCGGTGATTTTTTTTCTTGCTAGACAACTGATTCAAGATGCTCCTTCAGCTGTACAACAGCAGAGCTATTTGAAGCAGAACTCAGAATCTCATTAATGATTTCACCAGCAATGGGGCTGATTAAGTCGCTGATTGCATCTTTGTACTCAGTCAGGAACTCAGCCACGTTATCAGTGAGCACTTCGCTGACCAAAGCACTGAACTCGTCATTGTCCAAAAGCCCGTGCAAATCAAACTAAAAAAATGTTAAAGCGTTTTTCAGTGATTTTGAGCCTTACTTACCACCGCCTCTCCAAGGGTTATTGCAATAGTCACATTAGATAAACTAATGCCGTCAGTTATATTCAGACCGCCAGCAACCATTAATTCGATATCCTCGAGGGAAACGCTGCAAGTAAATTAACAGGGTACAAAGAGAAAAAATTAAAACGCGGATTTCTACCCAACACGTCCGTGTCCATAAGCTGGGACAAGAGAAGCGATCAGAAGATCGGCATTGTATTTAGTATTGAGGGAAAGCTTCGGAATTTGCAGGGTGGCGTTCAAAGTTGTGGGTAGAAGAGTGGTAGTGATATTGGAAGCCACCAAAGACGCCAATCCGGATAGTACCAGGTCCGAGACATTTGCAGAGCCTCTAAAACACGCAGTTTTAACCCATTTAGTGCTGTAAAAAATAGTTTTATTACGAGATAACATCGTTGTCCAGCGTCACAGCCAGACCACTGGTGAGGTTAATTGGCTCCGGTATTTCCGCCACCAACTTAGTGATTGTCTCATTGACCAGATTATCAACCAGGCTTCTTATTGGTGCTGCTTCATAGGCATCTTCTAAAATCCTTCGAGTTTCACCTAAGAAACTGGGACGGTCTTCAATCTTACCTGACGATACAGCAAAGGCTAACAGAAGCGCCACCAACGCAAAAAAACCCACTCGAACAGCAATCATTTCGGTCTAAAGCAATTTACTTACTAAAGTCTGCAACGCAATAAAGTGTCTGAACTTCACTTATAAGTCGGGCCTATCGTGATAACGTTGACGACATTGATGCAAAAGCACCTCAAGTACCCATTGAATAGATAGTGTGATTCTTATATATTGGGAAATGTGATTGAAGTTGTTTTTGTGGTTCATGTTCAACATCTCTACTTGATTGAACAGTTCATTGGGCCACCGTTTTAGCTTCAGATTTAGCAGCAAGTTTATTTCCAGCAGATGCGGAGCTTCATGGAAGCAAACGCAAAAACCAGAAATTGAAGGTTTTGCGCGGAATTCTGACTGTCCTTTTGTGGCAAACAAAAAAACTGATGTGGTGAAGTGCAGTTGATTGGCAAATCTGATCAACACTTAAGATTCCGTGAAGTGTTCCTTAAGAACAGCGTGGTTAAACAAACTAAATGAAGCCAACTGGCTTTAGTGCACCCAAGCCAAAGTAACTCCCTCCTTGCTGGCAATATCCTGCTTTGCAGCGTCCTTTACAGACTGTTTCCATTTCGGAAATATCCATTTCACCTTTTTCACACCTGCAAGTTGACGTGGGAAAATTAGTCTGGATGTGGAAGTTCCAGGCAGAAATTACCCAGGTTTTGGTTTCTGGATACAATTCGGGAAATTCTGGACAATCGGCGTCTTTTCAGCGCCAGAAGCTTTACCAGGCCCAAGTGTTTTTCGTGAAAGGGATTGGTGCCAACTGAATTCAGGTTGTCAGCCTCTTTGGTGTCCAACACAGCTCGAAAGGCTGATAAAGCACGCGAAACACCCACCTGGAAGGTGCAAATAACCGTGCTTCAATCAGGGATGAAATTTGTTATTGATCTTAAAGTTAACATTAATTCTAAAGGGCGTCCTTTTCCCAATGGACGCAGAAATCTGAGTAATTTTTAGCTGGCAGATAAGAACACTGTCTTTCTTCATTCTTCACAACTTTGACTCCACTCTCCGTTAGCGCTTGAGCAAGTCAAAGTCTTTCTCTGCGGGTTCTTTCCAATATTTCTTCATAGCTTCTTCAATATTTTGAAGTATTTTTGGGTTTTTGGTTGGTATGCCCTCTGATCCTCTCACACTGCATAGGCTCCTACACTTAAGCTGCTTCTGATCTAATTAAATCTCTTCCCTCGCCTAAATGTTTGAGAACACACATTTTTGCTGAGTCTCTAAAAGTTGGTCTACAAATTAACTGCAGGTTCTTCATTAAAAAGTTTGCAACTTCTGATCTAGAACAAGCAGCAACTTGAAATGTTTACATTTTATAGGTGACTTTTCAGTCTAAAAACTCTCGTGATTTTATTGGAATTGCGCAAAAGTCCGATTTTTGTTTTGCGGATTTAGTCAATTTTGGTTTGGAAATGAACATTTTCACGCAAATGAGAGCTTTTCAATAAAATTTCCCAACTTCTACACTTGAGCAACTAGCAACTTTAAATTTTCAAAATGTATAAGGAACACTTGAGCCTAAAAAGTCGCAAATTTTTATCCAAATTGAATGAGGCACTGATTTTTATGGGTTCTGGAAATGTTGGTCTAAAAATGAACGTTTTCACGCAACTGTCCACTTTGCAAGAAAAATGTATAACTTCTAATTTAGAGCAAGCATCAACTTGAAACTTGTACAGTTTATAGGCGACACTTTAGTCTAAATAATGGTGGCATTTCATTTGAATTGCAGTAAATTCTGATTTTTGCGGATTTTGTAAAGATTGGTCTTTGGTCTGAAATTGAACAGTTTCAGGCAAATGAGAGCTTTTCAATAAAATTTCCCAACTTCTACACTTGAGCAAGTAGAAGCTTTAAATTTTGACAATGTATAAAGAACACTTGCGCCTTAAAAGTCGCAAATTTTTATCCAAATAGAATGCGGCACTGATTTTTATGGGTTTTGGAAATGTTGGTCTAAAAATGAACGTTTTCACGCAACTGTACACTTTTCAAGAAAAATTTATGACTTCTAATTTAGAGCAAGCATCAACTTGAAACTTGTACAGTTTATAGGCGACACTTCAGTCTAAATGATGTTGGCATTTCATTTGAATTGCAGTAAATTCTGATTTCTGCGGATTTTGTAAAGATTGGTCTTTGGTCTGAAATTGAACAGTTTCATGCAAATGAGAGCTTTTCAATAAAATTTCCCAACTTCTACACTTGAGCAAGTAGCAGCTTTAAATTTTGACAATATATAAAGAACACTTGCGCCTTAAAAGTCGCAAATTTTTATCCAAATAGAATGAGGCACTGATTTTTATGGGTTCTGGAAATGTTGGTCTAAAAATGGACGTTTTCACGCAAATATATACTCTGCAAGAAAAATTTATAACTTCTACTCCAGAGCAAGCAGCAACTGGAAATTTTTACAGTCTATAGGCGACAGTTTAGTCTAAAAACTCTCGCAATTTCATTGGAGTTGCACAATATTCTGAATTTTGCGGAATTTGTAAATTTTGGTCCGAAAATGAACGTTTTTGCGTGAGAGTTAGCACCTGGGAATGTCGCACCAGATGCTCAGTAATATCAGCCCCTAGCAGTTCTTGATGTACATCCATTCGAATGGGGATCATTTTGTTTATGCCCCACAACATCAGTATAGTCGAGCAAACTCCCCATGACCCAATGCACAGCACTGTTAAGGCTTGCACGCCCATCAAGTACCAACCACCACCTAAAAGAGTAAAAGATCCAGCTTGAGACATTGGAGAGTTGGAGTCGCACCTTTTATGAGGCCATTTCTCCCGTTGGTCGTGTCAAGAGGTTCGGGACTTTGAGCGAATATTCCTACCGCTAGGATGCCTGAAACGGCCAGTAAAATAGGGGTGCAATTGATTGAAAAAGTGAACAGTTCACCCCATATTCCGCCTACGCCATGCACAGCACTTGCCCCAACAGGATCGTCAATTTTTATCTGGAAACCAGTTAAAATTTAAAAACGAAAACTCCTTGTTGGTGCAGCAAGCCAGAGTAAACATCATACTTTACCGAGTCGATTAGAGGCATAGAAGTGCAGACCAAAAGAGCTCCGATCACACCGATAATCAGGGCTTCCCATCCTGAAAGTGGAGTGTTTAGTTTGTGACTTATTCCAGGAGTTTATGTAAAAGGGGCAAAGTCCTGGACAGAAAATGCCCCCATCAAATCTTGAAATGCATGGGGAGACTGTAGAAAGTGTTGTTGATTAGCAGCCGATTTTCCAAAGCGAATTTTAGTACCCAAGCACCAAACTCGCTCTTTACCTTGGTACAAGAAGCATCCCGCCGTGATTGAGACCAGTGAGCCCAAAATCCCATTGATGATATCCAAAGCATCAATTCGCCCGCCCAATCGGATCATCGTGTACAAAATGCTGACCGTGCCGCCCCCAAAGGAGGACATCATTGTGGTGACGGCAGCTTGGGCGGCGTACTGCCACTTTTCCCCACTTAAACCGTAGGTACTGCCTGAGTTGAACGCCAGCCAACCCCACCAGAGCACAAACAGCCCCATCACAGCATTTACCGGATTGCCTAGAAAGCAAAAGCTCCACTCAACTGCCCTCTGGAGTCAGCCTCATTGGGGGAACTGACCCAAAGGCAATGGGCCCTGCCCATTATCGTATCTTCCCAAGCGAGGCCCCAGCATTAAGGCGCTAGCTAAGGAGGCACTGCCCCCGAGCAGATGAACAGCTCCAGAACCCGCTATGTCCACTGCGCCCAGCTTCTTCAGGAAGCCATGCTCTCCCCATATCCAACCGGCCGGAATGCAGTAGATTATAGTGTTGAAGAAGCTGGAGAACAAAGAAAACTTTTGCCTGCACGTCCTGGATGGTTTTCAAGGTTTCACTCGGAATCGGAGCAACTAAGTTTGATCGGTACTTCCTACATTCGCCCCAGAACACCTCTAGCGCGATTTGAATGAAACTTTTATGATGTGCAGCATCAAGCGTCTTGTATAGCGTGTGCAAGTTTCAAGTTACTACCTGCTCGGGATTGGCAGTTATAATTTTTTTAAAGGAGGGCATGCAGTTGGATAAAACTGTTAATTTTAGGTCCATCATTCACAAGTAACGGAAAAATCAGAATTGTGCGCGA